TCTATTCCCTGCAGTATCTTGTATGTCGTTATCATGTCTCCCCTGACCCTTCTGTCCTCCAGTGTCGTCAGTCCGATTTCCCTTAACCTTTCCTCGTACGACATTCCCTTGAGCTCTGGGACTAGCCTTCTTGCAAACCTTTGTGCTTTCTCTAACTTCTTGACGTGCTTGACCAGGTGTGGGTTCCAGACTGGTGCTGCATACTCCAGTATGGGCCTAATATACACAGTGTACAGTGTCTTGAACGATTCCTTATTAAGGTATCCAAACGCTATTCTCAGGTTTGCCAGGCGCCCGTATGCTGCAGCGGTTATTTGGTTGATGTGTGCCTCCGGTGATGTGCTCGGTGTTATGGTCACCCCAAGGTCTTTCTCCCTGAGTGAGGTCTGTAGTCTTTGTCCACCTAGCCTATACTCTGTCTGCGGTCTTCTTTGCCCCTCCCCAATCTTCATGACTTTGCATTTGGCTGGATTGAATTCGAGGAGCCAGTTGCTGGACCACATGTCCAGCCTGTCCAGGTCTCTTTGCAGTCCTGCCTCATCCTCGTCCGATTTAATTCTTCTCATCAACTTCACGTCATCTGTGAACAGGGACACTTCAGAGTCTATTCCTTCCATCATGTCGTTCACATATATCAAAAATAGCACTGGTCCTAGAACTGACCCCTGTGGAACCCCGCTCGTAACAGGCGCCCACTGTGATACCTCTTCACGTACCATGACTGGTTGCTGCCTCCCTGTCAGGTATTCCCTTATCCATTGCAGTGCCCTCCCTTTTACGTGCGCCTGATCCTCCAGCTTCTGCACTAATCTCTTGTGAGGAACTGTGTCAGAGGCCTTCCTGCAGTCTAGGAAAACGCAATCTACCCACCCCTCTCTCTCGTGTCTTACTTCTGTTACCTTGTCATAAAACTCCAGGAGGTTTGTGATACAAGATTTGCCTTCCATGAACCCATGCTGGTTTTCATTTATAATCTTGTTCCTTTCCAGGTGTTCGACCACTCTCCTCCTGATAATCTTCTCCATGACTTTACACACAATACATGTCAGAGACACAGGTCTGTAGTTTAGTGCCTCGTTTCTGTTTCCTTTCTTAAATATGGGGACTACATTAGCTGTCTTCCATTTCTCAGGTAGTTGCCCAGTTTCAAGGGATGTGTTGAAGATGTGGTTAGAGGCACGCACAGCATCTCTGCTCCTTCTCTAAGGACCCATGGGGAGATGTTGTCCGGTCCCATCGCCTTTGAGGTGTCAAGGTCACTTAAGAGCTTCTTCACCTCCTCCTCAGTTGTTCGTATGTCATCAAACACTTGTTGGTATATTCCCTCTTGATGTTCCCTTCTGTGCTGTCTTCCCACAGCCCTTCCTGTCTCTACTGTAAAAACTTCCTTAAATCTCCTGTTCAGCTCCTCACATACCTCCTGATCATTTCTTGTGAGTTCTCCACCTTCTGTCCTTAATCTGATCACCTGGTCTTTGACTGTTGTCTTCCTCCTGATGTGGCTATACAACAGTTTCGGGTCAGTCTTGATTCTCGATGCTATGTCATTTTCATACTGTCGCTGGGCCTCCCTCCTTACCTGTGCTTACTCATTCCTGGCTCTGCGACTGATCTCGCTATTTTCGTGTGTTCTCTGCCTTCTGTACTTTTTCCATTCTCTATTGCACTTTGTTTTTGCCTTCTTACACCGTCGGGTAAACCAGGGGCTCGTTCTGGTCTTCCCATTGTTACTGTTGCCTTTGCCCTTATGTGTGTGTGTGTGTGTGTGTGTGTGTGTGTGTGTGTGTGTACTCACGTAGTTTTGGTTTCAGGGATTTATTCACAGCTCCTGGTCCCGCCTCTTCACTGGCTGCTACTCGGTCACTCTTCCCACTCCATGAGCTTTATCATACCTCTTCATAAAGCTATGTATGGATCCTGCCTCCACTACATCACTACCCAGACTATTCCATATCCCGACAACTCTGTGACTGAAGAAATACTTCCTAACGTCTTTGTGGTTCATCTGAGTCTTCAGCTTCCAACTGCGACCCCTTGTTGCTTTGTCCCATCTCCGGAACATCCTTTCTCTGTCCACCTTGTCGATTCCTCTCAGAATTTTATATGTCGCTATTATATCATCCCTATGTCTCCTATCTTTCACTGTCGTCAAGTCGATTTCCCTTAACCTCTCCTCGTAGGACATACCTATTAGCTCCGGGACTAGTTTGTTGCAATCCTTTGCACTTTCTCTAGTTTCCTTACATGCTTGACTAGGTGAGGGTTCCAAACTGGCGCTGCCTACTCCAATATCGGCCTAACTTACAAAGTGTATAGTGTCCTGAATGACTCCTTATTTAGATGTTGGAATACTGTTCTAGGGTTGCCAGGCGCCAATATCCTGCAGGAGTTATTTGGTGATGAGAGCTCAGGAGATGTGCCTGGTGTTATACTCATCCCAAGATCCTTTTACCTGAGTGAGGTTTGTGAGCTCTGGTCTCCTAGACTGTACTTCATCTGAGGTCTTCTTTGCCTTTCCCCAATCTTCATGACTTTGCACTTGGTAGGGTTGAACTCCAGGAGCCAATTGCTAGACCAGGCCTGCAGCCTGTCCAGATCCCTCTGTAGTTCTTCTCATCAATTTCACATCATCTGCAATCAAGGACACTTCGGAGTCTATTCCTTCCGTCATCTCGTTCACAAATACCAATAAACAGCACCGGTCCTAGAACTAATTCTTTTGGCACCCCACTCATTACAGGCGCCCACCCTGACGCCTCGCAACGTACCATGACTCGCTGTTGTCTTCCTGACAGATATTCCCTTAGCCATTATAGTGCCTTCCCTGTTATCCCTGCCTGGTCCTCCAGCATTTTCACTGATCTCTTGTGTGGAACTTTGTCAAACGTCTTCTGACAGTCTAAGAAAACGCAATCTACCCACTACTCTCTCACTTGTTTTACTGCAATCACCGTCTCATAGATCTCCAGTAGGTTTGTGATGCAGGATTTCTCGTCCCTTAAACCGTATTGGCTGTTTTTGATAAACTCATTCCTTTCTAGGTGCTCTTCCACTCTTCTCCTGATAATTGTCTGCGTGACCTTGCATACTGTACTCGTCAGTGACACTGGTCTGTAGTTTAATGCTTCTTATTTTTCTACTTTTTTTTAAAGTTGGGACTACATTTGGGTTCTTCATTACTTCCAGTTGTCGCCCTGCTTCGATAGATATGTTGAAGATATTTTTAGTTGTACACAAAACACCTCTGCTCCCTCTCTCGGATCCATGGAGAGATGTTATCCGGCCCCATCACCTTTGAGGTATCTAGCTCGCTTAGGAGAGTCTTCACATCTTCCTCAGATGTATGTAATGTGTCCAACACTTGGTGGTGTACCTCACCTCTCCACATTTCAGGAGGCCTTTCTGTCTCCTCTGTGAACACTTCTTTGAATCTCATATTGAGCTCCTCACATGCTTTGCGATCATTTTTTTGTGATCTCCCCTCCTTCCTTCTTCAGCCTGATTACCTGGTCCTTGACTGTTTTTTCGTCCTGATGTGGCTGTAGAACAGCTTTGGGTGAGATTTGGCTTTTGCTGATATGTCATTTTCATATTGTCTTTGGGTCTCCCATCTTACCTGTGCATGTTTATTTCTGGCTCTACGACTGCTTTCCTTATTCTCCTAGGTTCTTTGCTTTCTATACTTCTCCATTCCCTAGGAGACTTGGTTTTGGCCTCCCTGCACCATTGAGTGAACCACGGGCTCGTCCTGGTTTTTTTTTTGTTATTCCTGTTACCCTTGGGTACAAACCTCTCCTCAGCTTCCTTGCATATTGTTATCACATATTCCATCATCTCGTTTACTGACTTCCCTGTCAGTGCCCTGTCCCACTGAATCCCTTTCAGGAAGTTCTTCATGCCTGCATAGTCTGCTTTCTTGTGGTTTTGTTTCATTCGTCTGGCCCTTCCTGCTTCCCCCTCCACTTGTAAATACTATGTATTCGAATCTCAAATCCATATGATCACTGGCCCCAAAGGGTCTTTCATATATGATGTCCTCAATATCTGCTCTGTTCAAGGTGAATACTAGGTCCAGTCTTACTGGTTCATCCTCTCCTCTTTCTCTTTCTCTCTCTCTTTGGCAGTGTCCCTTACGTGTTGGTACACGAGGCTTTCCAGTACTGCCCCCATGTTGCTCCAAGTTCTCCCAATCAATTTCTTTGTGGTTGAAGTCACCCATGATCAGTAGATTTGCCCTGCTCGCATGAGCCCTTCTGGCCACTTCAGCCAGTGTGTCAACCATCGTACTATTATTTTCATCATACTAAGCCTTAGCTTTCTGCTGTTCTATGGTGGGTTATACATCACTGCAATTACCACCTTGGGATCTCCTGACTGAAGCTTTCCTATTATGCAATCTCTTGCTTCTCCGTTTCCTCTCTCCAGCTCATCAAAATCCCATTGGTTTTTGATCAGCAGTGCCACTCCTCCACCCTCTCTGTTCCCTCTGACTTTCCTCAGGATCTGATATCTCGTTGGAAAGATGGTATCTGTTATCATCCCTGTAAGTTTGGTTTCTGTGAGAGCTATGAGGTCCGGTGACGCCTCTTTGACTCTTTCATGCCACTCCTCCCATTTATTCGCTATTCCATCAGCGTTTGAGTACCATACCTTCAGTTTCCTCTCAAACATCGTGTTTTGGGGTGTCTTTGAGGGTGGGGGACTTGGCAGTGTCTGTGTGTGCATACATATTTGGGTTGAAAGACTGAATACCTAAAAATTACCTCTTCACTTCTTTCACCTTTTCCACTATGTATTATCTTAATTGTATTGGTAAAGTCTTTCATTCCCCAGTATAACACAAGTGTCTTATTCATCAATCTGTCATTATCTTCAGGGAATGATAATTCTATGTTACTGGAAATAATACCCATATCCGAGAGACTACGTGTAGAAATACACAAGAATAAATACTTCTAATATCGACATTAAGCACAGTGCTAAAAATTGGTAAATTTAGTATGATTGACCACAGTAACAACGTAGTGAGGAGAATTAATCCGCAGAATGGTGAGTTCGACTGGGACGACAGTACTCGCGGCCTCATCCTGGGTTCGTTCTTCTATGGGTACGCCTTGACTAATTTTCTGGGAGGGCGGATGGCGGAGTATTTGGGCGGAAAGATTGTGTTTGGCACAGGCATCCTTCTTACCGCCATCCTCACACTCCTCTCTCCCGTATGTGCCAGGGCCTCCACCACACTCTTCATCATTATCAGAATTTTACAAGGATTCACGGAGGTAAGATTCTTCCTCTGCATACAGTTGATCAGAAGAATTAGAGTCCATAAACAAATCATAAAGTTTCTAGAATTCATAATATATATTTTAAAGCTTGTCTTTTAAGTATTATTATTCATACCGTATCAATAGTTTCAGCTGTGTGTACTGAATAAATTTTTGTATGAAGAATATGACACATATACAGCATTTGAATATTTTGATTATCAAAACTTTTTGCCTGCAGAGAAGGCTTGTATAGGCTTTTTTGTCTGAAGAAGTTTGCTGTGACGACAAAGTGTATCGACAATAAAGATACCCAGGTTTTGCACTAGCGTCTCATTCATCAACTTCCCAGTGCTGTTTTCTATTAGTATAATTTTTTCTTTTCTCTGTTCAAGGGTGTAACTTTTCCGTCAATGAACTTCATGCTGGCATCCTGGGTGCCACAAAATGAGCGGCCCAAGTTCTCCACTTTGGTGTATGCTGGTATGTAAGGCTCGTTTTTAGTCTAGTTGTATGCTTTTTAAAGATTGACAGTGATTTCATAGAACTAAAGGGGTAATAAAAAAATGCCTGTCTGTGCATTCGTACTTGCATAAAAATGTTTGCTATAAACATCATTCAGAACAGAAATCGGTCAACGTTGTAGTCAAGTTCGCATTATAAATTTCCTCTTAAGGGCAGTGATTGGGCCTCTCAGAATTTTATCGTAACAGGTACAACTTCCATTTAATAACTGCATATCTACATATTCGCAATAATATCCAGGTCAATTAATATAATTAGAAAAGTGTACATATCGCTGTAAATGACAATATATGAAGAATAAATGTGCAAGTAGGTAACTTACCCATCAACTCCCAACGATCGACACCATGCCTAGCCCTTCTAGGGTAGGGTAGGTGCCTGAGCCCGAGCTTGCAACTCACATGCCTGTCATTCCCATTAGCTTCCTTGGGGCGGGGATGACAGACCAGAGAGGCCTAGCTTGTGGCTAGGCCTGGGCACAGTTGGTCCCAAAGATGAGTAGGTACTTGTGCCTCCTCCCATGGGAGACTTAGGTCTCAGACACTCCCTAAAGGGGGAGCCAAGGCCGGGCCACCACTTGGAAAAGGCCCGGGCCACCAGAATACCGGCGAATCTTTAATAATAATAATAATAAGTCCCAACAAATAATAGAATGCTCGAGGCAGTGTGAATTCAGGCCGTGCCTCATATTTGAGCAGATGCAACAATTGCAACCTATATTGTGACAGTATATGCAATTCTAAGACATATTTATTTGTGATCATTTTTTGAGTTTATTTATTTTTGGGCCATAAGATGCCCTTTTTGGCCATATCAAATATGAGGCACTCCCCGACAATGGTTAAACTGTAGGTGACAGATCAGGCATCAAATTTGATGCAAGCCTGACAAAGGCATTTGTCTAAAAGAATCATAACAGCTTCTATAACTGATAATTAAAGGCATAAATTTACATTTAAGGTTTAGTCATAAACAACTTGGGTAAACAAAAGGCACAGAAACTTGATTTCAATAAATTTAACACATTTTTAGTAATTGACATTTTATAAAAAATTGAAAAAAATGTTACAAAAATATTATCAGAGGAATTTAAGCATGTTGTTGCTTATGGAATTCCAGGAAACAATTCCTCATTGAATTTAGACATAAATTAACCTTGCAGAAGGAACAAGCAAAGGAAGAGTAGGTCCTCTTGTTCTTGGTGTTGCAATGTTTACATGAAGGCCTCTTTGCAGAAACTCGCCAGTGTGTTTGTGTTTCATCAAATATTGTATCATGAGGCCTTTTTCTATGCCAATTGGGAATGTCATCAAATGAAGAAGACCTTGAAGAAGACCGTGAAGTTGAACAACTTGGAGATCTCAGGCTCCTTGGGATTCCATTGACTTTCTTGCAGAATGGGAGATGGAAAACCGAAATTCCTTGAGGTTCATGCATTTCTCTTTCAAAGCACTACAGTCATGCCTGTACAACAACCAGCCATTGACACAACAAAGATCAATGATATATCCAAAGAGCCTCATGTACCAGCGTTTTGCTTTGAGTGGAGACTTGTAGAGATGCACCAACATATCATTCTTATCTATGCCCCCATATGGGCATTATAATTCTTTATCACTGCAGGACAGTCAACTTCCACCTTTTGTTTGAGCTCCTTGCTGTACCTCTTTATCTTTGCCACTGGGTTGATGCCAATATCATTAGTCAGTAAAGTAACAACCTTACTGTCTTTCCAACATACAGCAAGGACACCATCCAATGAACAGTAATCCATAGCACTCCTTTTCACCTTTGTTTTTTCCATGTCATTGACAGACATAAGTGGTGGTTTTCCAATTCTGCTGTCCCTTGCAGTGCCTGTGTACCTGCAATTGAATGTAGCATCCAGATATTTCACTAGAGGCAAACTGGTAAAGAAGTTATCTGCATAAATTGCACTGGTCTTTGCAAGGCAAATAACAAACTTGGAACTTATAGGCATTTTCTTCTCCTCCTCTGTGTTGGTACCTCATGTTCGTAGTCAAGTAATGGAGTATTTGTTATGTCAAGTTTGCTCCAGGTGGCATTAGTGTTGTTGACAGTTGTTTCATCTACCTCAACCTCGTCATCTTTAACTGCTTGTTTTCGTACATTTCTTCGTTTTACATTAACTTGCCCACTTCTCTTAGACAAATCTTCATGTTCATCTTCACTTGAAGAAGAAGCTTCTGCCTGTGGCTCATAATCATCTCCAGAATCCACTTCCTCATTAGGGTCACTGTCATCATGTAACTCTGGCATGATGTAATCCCTTCTTCTTTGAGCCCTTGATCCATAAAACACATTTGTGTTCAAATGAAATGAACAGAAAACACAAAATGAGCATTCCATATGAGCAAATTTGATAAATTTACAAGGTAAAATTACTCATATATTAATGAATTTGATTCAGCATGCAATTGTTAGCTATCAGTGACAAAGACAGTCTAATTATGATATGTTAATCCATGATATATGATACCTTCAATGGCACATTTCTTATCACTACTGTCAGGCCGGGCCTCAATATTGATACAAAAACAGTAAGTGATAATCTACCATTGTCAGGCCGGGCCTCAATATTGATACCAAAAAGGTAAACAAAACTTCAAGTGCATTTATTTGTTACTTCTCAATGCCTCAGGCAATTCATTTGCATCTCAAAATGAGGTTCAAACATTCAATAATACACTGGAAACAGATTCAGAAGCTTACCGACATTCTGGAGTGGTGTAAATTGGTGAAATATCAGGAGAGTGAGGGTCGAAATGCTGCTCCTTCAACAAGTCAAGCAGTACTGAACACTCGAGGAGCTCCCAGCCAATAGCAGTGGACAATACCCAAGTGTTGCCACCTTCAAGCTCCGCCCAGAAGGTGTGTGATTGGCTGGATTGAGACAAGAAGTCTCTGGGAGCATATGCTTTGTGTCTATGGCACCACGAAAACCATACTTTTGGTGCCTCAATATTGAGGCACTGCGCGGTAAAGGGTTAACCCTTTACTGCGCGGTAAAGGGTTAACCCTTTACCTGTGAATATAAAATTAAAAATGTAAATCAATATATAATAGTAATACTCAATAAATAATTAGTTATACTCTATAAGCAAATAGCAAAACTCTATATACTATATAAACAATATACTATATACTATATATACTATATAAACAAATAAATGCATCTATGATTCATGAGATAATGTGCAGGTGAAGTGTTACGACATCTCGTAAGAGCACTGAGATACATGAAAGCATATATGGCTTATGAAATCGTAATAACACGATTGCAATCACAGAACGAGTGGAGATCGAATTTATGCAGGTGGGTCCTAGGGCTCACCTATGATAGGTTCGAACACCATCCATTTTGTGATTTATTAAGAAAGCATTTGGTATGTTTGTGCCTATGTTACAATTATCTCAGTAACCCAGATGGCATGTCACATTGTCGATTCGGTTGACTAAATAATGAAATAATGGAAACATTAAATAAACAACTAAAAAATTTAAAAGTAGTTTATGAAAAAAAATTGTTACCTTTTTTCCAATTTCAATGAAACTTTTACAGTAATTTAAGCAGTATTTGACCTATCCTCACTGTGTTTGCAGTGCCTTTTTGCCTATCAGATAAACAGAAAAAAATAAATAGTGCCCTAATCCGAAACGTCGTCGTAAGCTCCTCTCTTCTACGAGCAGGTTATTTTTGTATCGTTCCAGTCGCGGTATTGTTCCTTTTTTTGTTATTTGTGTATCCATAGGGCATAAAAACTTTCTGAACTTCAAAACTTGGTAAGATGTACAATGTTCTAGTTCACATCAGATGAAAGATAGAGGTTCTAAACAATTATGTAACTGAGACATTTGAGCGATATGCCAGTCGATATCCTAATAAAAATGTTAAAACCTATGTTTTTTTTTTTAAGGATTTTTTGGAAGAAAAAATCAATAAAAACAACACAAAAAGGAATATCACAAATCCCCATTATCATTTTGTAGAATCATCATACGTCTATAATGTGTGCAAAAATCCTGATAATCCATCAAGTAGTTTCCAAAAAAGTCTGGCTACAAATGTCAATAACTTATTCCCGAGTAGTAGACACATTACATTTTCTGTAAAATTATTTGGTCACGTCGTGCCAAATTTTGGCACATCACACATCTCCACTCTTGTCGGCATCCTGCAGGTGACTGAGCTGCTATTATTCTGCACACTGCCATGTAGTCCAAACAGAAGATAACATGTAGTGTATTTGGAAAGAAGCAATCATTAAAAAAACACGAACTGGCATCATGTCACCTCGATGATAGCAAGTCCAAAAAAATTGCCTTGCTGGAAAAAGATAATTAGAAATATGTTAGAAACAAGCTGATTGCATTAAAATATTGGCAGAATTACTAATTATTTTTTGGAAAGAATTTTTTTTTTTTAAATTTTCTTAATTTTTTTTTTTATCTTTTCGGTAATTCTTTATTTCCCCCCTTAAAAGTACCGAGATAATCATGATTTGGAGGAAATGTTAATATGTGAAAAAATGTATTGCTAAAAAGATAATGAATATTAATACGAAATTCCAAAATGTTTGGATTTAGTAACGACGATGCCAGCATTGATGCATTGCAAGACACATTTGTTACCTAACTGTGCTGACCAATTTCATGAAGAGCTTTTAACTTGTCTGTCTGATTCAAATAGAGTGGTATAGGTTCGACGTTCTATCGACTTTTCGTAGCAAGCTCTACAACCGGTCAGTCCATTGTTAACCGAATTTAGAGAAGTGAATAAAGGCATTAAGGTAATTACATTTTATGAAAGTACTTTGTGATCCCTGGTTTAGTAATGCAGTTACATTTTTTTGATTTATGCCTTTTATCATCAATTTTTACCTATAACACAGATAAGGCTACTTCAGCTAAAACATCATTATTAACATTATCAGCAA